TTTTGTGCTCTACAGCTAGATAATGTACGTAAATTTAGTTGCATCATTCAGGATAGTTGGAAAAGATCGGTCAACACGGACTGTTGTGCGAGTGGATTCTGCCTGGTCGATTCCAGTGATGATTGGAACACACATCCCCCAATATGTATGCTTTGCAAAAAAACAGTATCTATTAGCCTGAAGGAGGTAATCAAGTCACACAATCTTTATATTATGTTTTCACTGAAATATGATTGTTTTTAAACATTGAGTAGAAGGAGGTTCATATTGTTGTTTTGATTTTCTGTTGAATGGGTACTTGAGGCCATGGAACTTAACGCGAAAGCTAAAATGGAGCTCAACAACATAGCGGTCATTGGCACTTCACCAGGTATGATTTCTGCTACAAGCGTTTCTTGTTCGCACTCTTTTTGTTTCTTTTTAAGTGTGAGTCAAATTCAAATTCTATTGTTCACGTTATACTGAAATTGTTGCTTGCGGTCATTATGTATATTATTAAATTCCAGCTGAAATTTTCGAGCATTGGTTGCGTGTATACGGAAAATTCGCTGAGGTGGGCCCAGTTTGAAACTTGTTTCATCTTTCGCAAAATGTTCGCTTGTTGAGGTTTTATCACCATACAACACATTTCTGGTTAGCATTGGGCAAAAACTTCTTTTGGCGGCAGAAAGCGTTGGGCAGATGAATCTCTTAGACAAGTATGACGACATCGGTTTAGCAGCTTACAGGTAGGAAAACATCATGTGTCTATTTGATTCTTCGGCCTTTTTTCCTCATGATCTCTTAGATCATTTTGCTAACCATACAATAACTTTCATCCTCTAGCTAATAGTCTATTCACAGAAGATATCTTCCTCGAGGTCACCCGGAATTAACACAGCGCTTACGACTAGCCTTTCTGAGGAAGATGCACCATAGTTCTCCTCAGGAACATCGCCCTCTACTTCTAGAGGTACTTTACATCTTATTCGAATTTATCCTCCCCAAAACACTTGCGAATTTGGCTCAGTGAACAGCCTAAAGCTCTAATTTTTAAGTTTAGCATTGTAGTTTCGCCTAGCTAGATTTTTTTCAAGAAATACATTTAAGAAACGCATGCATAAGTTTTTCGATAAAACCTTTAATGTTTGTGAAATTATTAGTTATCGATCAATTGCGCTTGCAAAATCCATAGGTTCAGCTTATCTTGAAGAGTAACCAAAAATAGAGTTTTTGATTTATCCGGTCGTTTGGAGCGCTCTGAGCATACAAATCTGCTTTTTTGTAGCTTAACAGCTCTCATGGCTATGACTCCTGTCATGCGAGTTAAGTCACTTTCAGCTTATAATCATTTTACACCATGAAATGCTTCGAGCTCTAAACAAAATTTATCTATGTACTTACGCATTGGTTCACACAGTGTGAGTTTTTTGAAGTCAGTCATCCAACTACTATAGCACATTAGCTATTGCTGAAATTCTTTATCTTCTGCCTGCATAGTTGGTTCATATCTACTCGATAATAAAGTTTTGTATTGCAGAAATTATCGCCTTTTTGAGTTTATGAGATCCTCTCCCCCCTCTTCTCTCCTACATTCACCGTTTATTTTGTTGCGTAATTCGTTAGCTGTGCGCCATGCACTGAAAGAACCGCTAATACGAAGCTTATCTGAAAATCAGAGTTGACTCTCTGTGGAAACAGCTGCTGCATTTTCATGCATTTTTCG